GAGCCTTGCAGAATGTACCATCTAAGGAGTCTTTCTGCTCTGCCTTTTGCAACCGGACTTGCCTCTCTCGTATTGGCCTTTTTAGCCACCAACGCGCTTGCAACAAGTGTGGGTAGAGCCCTTCCCAAATCTTTGTTCACGAAACCCAGCCATGATGATATAAAAATAAGTAGAAATTAATATAAATATATAAACATATATATAAAAATATAGAGGGGTATATATCCATACTTATATTCTTATGTATTTGTAAGTATATGTACTATGTACTCAAGTAGTATATAGGAGAATGTCTGTGTCTATATATGAAAATAAATCTAGAAATATATAAAAAAATTACTCCTAGAGTGTATAGGAGGGCATACAAATATATATTATATATATACCCACACACAAAAATATGCATGTAATATATATACACACATATTTTTGTGTGTGGGTGTATACATACATATCTAGGGTTGGTGGCACAGGGTCCCAGAGCCACTCATGGGAACCCCCAGAGCACTGGGCGCAGCCTTCTCCTTCCTTCAGGAGCAGCATCCCACAGGAGCACAGTGCCCATCCTTGTTGCTCTGTGGGCTCCTTCATGCTCCCTGCATGGGAGTGGAGCTGGCGGGCAGAGGGTGGGCACGCAAGCAGGAGGTGATGGCCTGCAAAAGGCTTCTATTTATTGCCACTCATATGCCACCGGGGCCCTCCAGGGCCTTGAGGTGGCTGCTGGCTCCAGTGATGAAAGGGAAATGATTATGGTGGTGTTGCAGTGCCTGCACCTCTTTGGGGTCCCGGCCTGTGGGGTGATCTGCACAGCCTGGCAGTGGGGAACCCTTTGCCAGCTGGATGGTGGCTGCACAAGTACCTCATCCATGTGGCCTGGAGACATCCCAGTGCCCCCAGCCTGGCCATCCCTGGAGTGTCCTGGGGAAGGCAGTCAGGGACCTCTGCATCCATTTTGGGGGGCAAAGAAAGAAACAGCCATTTCCCCATGTGTAATGTAGCCACATGGAGCCACTACAGGAAGTGTCAGCTGAATAGATATTTACATCCCTATACCCTGATGGAGTTCCCCAAGCCCCTCATAATCCCCCCACCCAGCACAAAATTCCCCCTAACACTGCTGTACCTCTTCCCAGTGAACACTGAGGGATAAATTTCCTATATAGTTTTGGGAGCCCTGAGTTGTCTCCTGCGTGTTTTGTTCTCATTGGAGTTTCCCTTCTGAGTTTATTTTTGGTAGGGCCTGAAATAGGAAATGAATTGTTGGCAGCGGGCTGGCTTTTATCACTGCTCGCCGGCCAAGCCAAAACAAACGTGCTGTTGTCCAACCCAAAGGCTCCTTCTTCGCTTTGGGAAATTGGGAGGAAATGGGAAGATCAGTGTTACAGTGTTGGTGGAGGAGGGGAGGGGCCACAACAGTCCCTGCGCTCCTCTGATTCCGTGGATGAGGTGCTGGTGGAGCAGAGGGCTGGTGGCTCCATCACAGCATCTCTTGCCAGCCTCACCCACTGCTTCTCCTCAGCCATGGCCACCACGTTGTCACAAAACACCCTACCTGTCTATCAGGGAAGGTGGATCCTGCTCCATCTCAGGGGAGCAGAACACCTGGATTTGTCCATGTTATGACTGGGTTCAGCTGTTTTTTCTTGAGGTCAAAGTTTTCTGCATGTTCAAGAGAGCGGTAGAAAGCAGCTCAGAGCAATAAGTGTGTTTAGCGTGTATGATCTTCCTGGTAAGGTCTCAGCTGCAGGGCAATGGGTGGTTTTCAGCCTCTGCTGATTTGTGGACCCCTGAACAAAGCCCCCTCACCAGTGTCTGCCATGGGGAGCTGTCAGTCAGAGATATCCAACATGTGGCAGTGGGAGGAAAGTCTGCAGAATGCTTGGAAAAAGAGATTCACGGTCACATCATGAGGAGACATCAATCCTTCATGATGCTGAGGTGTGGCAATGCCTCCTCCATGTCCTTTGTGGTCCATGGCATCACAGGACATTGCTTGAAGAAGATTCTAACCTATCTGAACTGGAAAGACTCTATTGAAAAGACCCTGGAGGAAACAGAGGACCTCAGGTTGAACATCAGCTTGTTGTTGTTCCTCAGAGTAAGGCAAAGCCCACATTGAGGGCTGCTGGGAAGGGCACGGGCACATATGTACACTTGAAGCAAGGGTCCAGTTGTGAGTCTCCTAGTTCAAGAGCAATGTGAAGAAACTGGAGAGGCCAGGACAAAGGATATCAAAATGGTCATGGAGCTGGCACGCATTAGGCCAGGAGAAGTGGAGTGGGCTGGGCTGGGCTGGGCTGGGGGAAGGGTTCCAAGAACAGCCAGTGACCAAGATCATAGAATCACAGAATCACAGAATATCCTGAGTTGGAAGGGACCCACAGAGAATATCCAGTCCAACTCCTGGCCCTGCACAGGACACCCCAACACTCCCACACTGTCCCTGAGAGCATTGTCCAAATGCTTCTTGTGCTCTGGCAGCCTTGGGGCTGTGCCCACTGCCCTGGGGAGCCTGTTCAGTGCCCGATCACCCTCTGGGGGAAGAACCTTTTCCTAACATCCAGCCTAAACCTCCCTTGAGAGAGCTTCATGATGAAGTTGAACCCTTCTTGGTGGTGCCAGGTGACATGATGGGGTAAAACCTCTACCAACTGAAGGTTCAGGTTGGACCCTTGAAGAAAATTCCTCCCTGGGAGAATGGCCCTGGGACAATCAAAGGGGGCTGGGGTATCTCCACCCTTGGAGATTCCCAACATTCAGTGAGACATTGTCACAGCTGTCCTGACGTGATGGTTGGGCTGGAGGCTCTGGTGACCTGCCAGGACACACATCAGTGTCTGTGATGTGGGATTTTTGAATTTATCCATAGGCTGCTCACTTGCGGGCCCTCCTCTGGCTGGCTGGGGCTGTGATCGGAGCCCACGGGCGGGCTCATGCCTGGATGATGCTCTGCTGTCCCAGGGTAGCCTGGGGACTGGGGTGAGCTGGGGAATGGGGTGCCCCATTTCCTGAGGCACCAGCCCCAGCTTTGCTGCCTGCATGAGTGAGAAAGTACCCTGAGAGGAGGCTGGGGCAATTCCCAAATTCACATTGCTGGGTCACCGTCATGAGCATCATGGCTGGTTTCCCCCTGAACACTCTTCAGTGCTGACATGAAGAGATGTGTATAGGACCATGTGATGTCTCTGACAAACCTTTCTGCTTTAATTGTCTTCAATTTTTGCACTTTTACTGCCTGGATTCAACTCCTTTCCTTCTCTTTTCCTAATCTATGGATAGTTATTAAACTTAGTCTCCTGGAAGCCTCTTCAGTTTCTCCAACAGCCTCTGTGGTGGAGGCATAGGGGCTTGGATGCCATCCCAGCTCTCATAGGCTCGGTGTCCCCATTTTTCGTTTCTGCACTCCTGTTCCAGGAGTAGTTTCAGCCATTGTACTTTATCTTCCCAAGCAAAAACTGAAGGAAAAGGGAGGGAGAGTGAAGGAACTCTGAAAGGTAACCAGGAGTCTGGGAAGCAACACTGACAAGTCCTGTGATGTCATTTTTCAGCTTTGTGCTATAAGATGATGCTTCTCCAGCCAGTGTCAGACACTGCACTGGCTCCAGCTCCACAGTGCTGAGCAATGCCCAGCAGTGTGCTGGAGCCCCATCCCCTCTTGAGTGTCATGCTGGGCTGGTTGCAGTCCTGGTTCCAGGTGGTCTCATCCCATCCTGGTGTCCACCAGCTGCCTCCATCACCTCTGAGATTGCTGTGGTTGACCTTTTGGTATGGCAGTCTTCTGGGCCATTATCCAGATGTGTCCAGTTCTGGGCCCCTCAGTTCACGAAGGACATTGAGGTGCTGGAGCAGGTCCAGAGAAGAGCAACAAGGCTGGTGAAGGGACTCGAATACAAGTCCTATGAGGAGAGGCTGAGGGAACTGGGGTTGTTCAGCCTGGAGAACAGGAGGCTCAGGGGAGACCTTCTCACTTTCTACAACTCCCTGACAGGAGGGGGGAGCCGGGTGGGGATTGGTCTCTTCTCCCAGGCAGCTATCAGTAAGACAAGAGGGCATGGTCTTAAGCTCTGCCAGGGGAGGTTTAGGTTGGATATTAGGAAGAAATTCTTTACAGAGGGGGAAATCAGACATTGGAATGGGCTGCTCAAGGAAGAGGTGGATTCTCCGTCCCTGGAGGTGTTTAAGTGAGACTGGATGTGGCATCAGTGCCATGGTCTGGGAACCATGGCGGGGTTGGATCAATGGTTGGACTTGATGATCTTGGAGGTCCTTTCCAACCCAGCTGATTCTATGATTCTATGATCCCCCACTGTGGGCAGAGCTCAGGATAGCTCAGTGGTGGGCACCAATGCTCCCGGCTCTCATGGAAGCAGACAGCCCCAATTCTCATGGCAGGAAACATCCTTCTGCTCAGGAATCTTGGGCAGGAGCCATGTGGGAGAAGCTCCTGCTTCTCAGCTGCCTCTGGGCTTGTCCCAGCCTTCCCCATGGCAGCATGGTGTCTGGGTCTGTGTGGAGACCTCAAATGCTGCCAGGGTTGGCAGCCTCTGGGCAGGAGGTTAGAAAGCTGGGGTCAGAGCCTTGCAGCCACTGCCATCCCCAGTATCCTCCCACATTTTTGTCCCAGCATCCTGAGCACCCAGCCAGGGCTGGGCTCTCTTTGCCCAGTGGCCACAGCTCTCTTGAACCGCAGGTTCTTGACCGAGGCTACACTGGGGAGTGTCAGTCACCGGGAGTATGCTGGATACTGGGGGATGAGGGGCTCTTTGTCTTGCCCCCAGGGCTGGTCTCCTGATGCCAGGTGAGCACATAGCAGCAGCCCCAGCAGGGACCTGCGTTCCCCCCATCTGCTGCTTGTTACCACCTGCCTGTACTTGCTGCAATGTCATCCATCTCCCCACTGCATCCCACTTAGGACCAGGATAGCACCAAAGTAAGACTAGGCAATTCCCAGCATGTTGCCAGCCCCTGGGGAGCCTGGGCAGGGAGAGATGGCATCCAGCTATGGAAGAAATACACTTTTATTAGGAAAGCGCTCTGCAGAGGTGCCAGGCTCTCTCGTACCAAACTAATCCCTCCAACTCTGCTGGATGGGATGCGGGAGCCCGAAGGGTGTCCAGCTCCGTCCATAAATAGCGCTTCCTCCTGGACAGGAGCAGCCCCAGGGCAGAGGAAGGGTGGCATCAGTCGAAACCAGCTCGACCCCAGGCCGGCACAGCGCATCTGCGGCAGGACCGGCAATGGAGAGCTGTGCCTGGAGCCCAGGGCACTGGGGCAGGGGGTGTGCTGCCAAGGATGGTTGTGGGCCATGCCTGGCACTGCCCTGGGCACTGAACAGCAGCTCAGTGAGAGGAGCTCTCCGGTGCTCTGCAAGCCCAACAGACCAGAGTGGGATGCAGGAAGCGAGCGGCTCCATTACTGCAGAATATACCGTGGGCACGTCTAGTACAACAAGCGCTGCTTATGCAATCAATAATACTGCTACAAAATAGAGGGGGGATATGCCACGCACGGACCCCCCTGGGGTGGCGGCCGGGCCGGCTCCCTGTGGTCCTGCCTTGCGTGGGGAGGGAGGGCGAGCTGCCAGACCCAGGCAGGGAGCAGGAGCAGGGCATGGATGGAGGGACCAGGTCATAGGGCAGGGGTGACTAAAGGAAAAAGGAGGATGAGTGGCCCAGGGGGATAAATGGAGGCTCAAGGCTCTTCCAGTGCCCCCTGCCCAGTCCAGGCTCTCCCATCCACTGGTTGTGCTGGCAATGTCCTTCTTCCCGGTGTGTGGCCAGGCAGTGTGGGGCTGGTGCCTGGCTCCTGGTCACTGTACTGCCTGGGCGGGCACAGCAGCTGCCCTGGATGGCTCCAGGCTGGCTTCTCGGCTCTTCTTCCTGGGAGGCTTCTTAATGGGGGTTTTCTTGGCTGCCTGCTCGCTGGGAAGAACCTGATCCTGGCCACTGTCAGCACTTGGCTTCTCCACCCACTTAGGCTCCCCGGCTGCCGGCTCAGCCGCCCCAGGGATCAGTTTTTGCAGGTGGGGAGAGGTGGGCAGCAAGGGTTTGCTGGTCTTCTGGCCGCTGGCGGCTGCTGAGCGCTTGGCTTTCTGTGGAGGGGTGGGCTTCTCCCGCTGAGTGCCCACCCCATTCACCCGAGTGCCTCCGTCCCCCTTGTTGAGGCTCTGAGTCTTTTCCTTCAGCTGGGCAGCCAGCTCGGAGGCCAGCTGGGGATGCAGTGGCTCAGAGCGGGATTTGCTGGTGCCAGGGCTGCAAGGAGCATCCTTGGAGTCTCCGACCCGCCGCTCCGGCTGGAAGGTGCCCATCTTTCGGAAGGCATTCTGCACTGCCCCATTGATGCTCTCCATCGGCTCTGAGCTGGCTTTGCTCCTCTGCTTGGGCTTGGAGGGTGATTGGGGCTCCCCGGTGAGGTTGGCTTTGCCCTCAGGGACACCAGGCTCCTTCGGTTGCTTCTGTGCTTTCTCCTTGCCCCGCATGCTGCCCTTCTCCTCCACTCTGCCCTGCACACTGGCTGATGTCTCGCTCGGGCTCCTCTTCCTCTTGGCCAAGCCCTGTCCTTGCTCAGGGCTGCTGGAATGGGCAGCTGCTCTGTCTGGGGATTGGCTGGGTGCTGGCAGCGAGTTGGACTGGCCAGAGTTGTACCTGCTGTGGATCCAGGAGACTTTGGGCTTAGTGGCTGGGTCTGGGGGACGGGGCTTGGTCCTTTCTGGGGATGGTGGCTTCCCGGGGCTGCGGGGCTCTGCAGTGGCATCTTCCTCCTCCCTGGACTGCTTGGAGAGGCGGGCGACCCGAGCGTAGAGAGCGGCGCCGGCCGAGCCAGAGCCGCAGGAGGAGCGCTCGCTGTCCGAGGACTTGAGCAGGGGTGTCTCACTGCTGTCGGCCGGGAAGGCTCTGACAGAGCCGGTCTCCTTTAGGAATGTGTATTCCCCTGCTTCCTCCCCGCCAGTGGGGGCCACCAGCTTGTCCCCGGGGCTGGCAGGTGTCCCTCTGTCCCTGCTGTCACCCACGCTCTCTGTGGGAAGAGAGCACGGGGATGTTAGGTGGGATGTGCCTGACGAGGGGAAGGACCGAGATGCTCCTGCCGGACAGTGGGCTCCCCCTGGACTCCCCTTGTTCCCGCCTCCCAGTCAGGGACCTCCTGGCTCTTAAACCCTGGAACAGCAAACGCCAGAGGAGGGAGCTTTGAAACTGCGTGGGAGGCAAGACTAACACCTGCATCCCTTCCTGGGGCACGAGAAACCAGGGTGACAACGATCCCCACTGTGCAAGGGTGACACCTCTTCTTCGAGCAGGCCCCTGGTAATGTCCCCAAAGTCTCCTGGGGATGCACCCCCTGCTCACCTTCATGGGGGACGCAGTACACCGGCCCCTCGTCTGTGGTGTCGAAGGAGGAGAAGGAGCCACGGGATGACCAGGATGGGGAAGGCTGGTCCACCACAGAGGGTGGCTCGATGAAGCTGCAGTTCAGGGTGTTTTCCAGGTCATGGTGGGCCACTGCAAGGGTAAGGAACAGCTATCAGTGCCCGTTTTGCCAAATCCCCCAGTACCCCCCCCCCAGCCAGGAGGGTGGGATGCTGCACACCCTTGCCCACCTTCCCGGTGGTACTGGGGACAGGGACAGCATCCAAGGCACAGGCACAGCTCTCACTGCACCTCCCCACCAGGTCCTCCAGCCAAGTGCCCACAAAAGCCATCAACCTGCAGTGGTGGTGACCAGCATCCCCCATGCTTGGGCCATGGGCAGCAGAGCCTGTTCAAGCCTCACACCTCCATCTATCCCCCTCTCCATGGATGGTCTCCACTGTCCAGACTGAGGATGTACATGGCAGAGGGATGAGCTACCCAAAACCCTGAGTCCCACAGGACACAGTGAGTGGCCTGGTGGTCACCCATGAGCTGTGCAACCTGGCAAAGCCACCTCACAAAGAGAGTCCTAGCACTGTAGCTGTCCCCTTCTCAGGGGAAGAAATTAGCTGCCAGCTTTAGTTCCACTAATTCCCACTTCAGCATCACTGACCGCATTTTCCTTTTCCATCTGCTTCTGCACAAGGACGCAGAAGGATAATAAAAGGATGCCTGCAGCAGGGGATGCACATCGCTGTTTTTTTCCCAATTCTGCCACTTTTTGATCCCTTTGCCAGCTTCTCCCATTCTGAGGCTGAGTAGGAGCAACCCCCCCCGCCAAGGGGCCACCTGCAGAGAAGCCGAGTGGAAGAGACAAACCACCAGAAAAAAAACTTGTTGTTTAAAAAATGAAATAAGGAAGCTGAGCAGATAGTTGTCTGGGCTGGAGGGATGGGGTTTTTTTCAGCTTCATCATTTTTGAGGCTTTTTGCTGGATAAGTTCATGTTCCAACACACCCTGCAGGGCTTCCCCAGATGCTCACAGCTTCAGCATTGCCCTTGGGTACCCACAGGACTGTGGCAACAACCAGCTGGGAGGAAGGACCCTCCCAGAGAGCCAGGCAGCATCAGATGCACTTGTCCCAATCCCTATAATGCTGGCTTTTGTCCCCTGGGACAGTGACAAGTTGCCTCCAAGGCCAGGCAGGGCCTTACTTTGGAGCAAGGGCTGCAAAAGTGTGGTCCTAGAGGGTGGTTGGGCACTGGAACAGACTCCCCAGACCAGTGGTCACAGCCCTGAGGCTGCCAGAGCTAAAGAAGTTTTTGGACAATACTCTCAGCATATGGTGGGATTGTTGGGCTTGTCCTGCACAGGGCCAGGAGCTGGACTCAATAATCCTTGCCAACTGAGAACATTCCATGATTCTGTGAAAATCCTGTGCACAGACAGGATCCCAGCTGTACATGGATATTTCCAGGTATTTGTAAGCTCTGCCTGCACATCCCAACTGCATCCCAATCCCAATTGTATCCCAGTCGTGCTGCAATTTCCTGCTCGGACTGTTTGATTCTTGCACCATATCCTTGTTTTACAATAAAATTTAGTGTTATTGGGATGCCCACTGGAACACTTATCCATTTTTAGGGAATCTGGCTTCAGACATGCAGGGCTGTTAATATGATGGCAGTGCTGCACGTTTGTCCCTGCATAGTTTGGCTTCTTGGATTAAGGTACAAAAACCCAAGCAGAGATATTTAAAGAGCAAACGACCCAGAGAAGGGGAAGCAGAGTTCCAAAATGGCTTTCCTTATAATAAAAACCAAAAAGAGAAAATTAAAAGCAGCCGGTTGGAAGAAGATGAAGGGAGATGCTTCCTGAGAGGAGGCGTGACAAGTGACTTACAGCCATGAGGCATCTCTGGGACTCCAGTGAGACCCAGGATACAGCCAAAGGATGAAAAGAGGATATGCAGCTCACTCAGAAATTTTGGGAAGTTTGGGGTCCCCAGGGATTTATTTCCCCTGGGCAAAATATCATGGGCTGGTGGGGCAGGGAGAAATGTGGATGCCTCCTGCATATTCTCTCCTGCCACTGCTCCCTGAAATCTCCTGGAGCCACAGCATCAGGGTGCCAACCCCAGCCTTGCTTGCACGGTGGCCAACTGGTTTCCAGACCAGGATAGAGCAGCGACGAGCTGCAGAAGGACCATGAGAGGGGGATTCCAGAGCCCTGCTGGCCACCGTCTCTCAGTCAGCCCAAGCTCCTCATGATCGGCATCACCCTCAGGGCTGGTTGATCTTTGCTGCTTGGAGAGGAGATGAGGTGGAGGGGGGCAGAGCTTGGGTTAGCCCCAGTATCTGTGGGGTGACATGGGACTGAGACCCACGCTGGTACCACTGACACTCCAATGAGCAAATCCCACACACAGGGATGCCCAAACCCTGGCACCACGGCTGCTGGTGTCAGCCCAGGATGTGGCCCTGCAGGCTGCCAGCTCAGATGTAATCCCCAGGGAGATGTGGATCCAAAGCTGGTGCCAAGGTTGGGAGCAGCTTTTGAGGGAGAAACCTGGGGCTCCAGGCACCTGATGAGCATCAGTGGGGCTTCAAGACCTGCTGTCTCACCTGGGAGGGTTCTACCACGTGTAGACTTGTGCTCACTGGTGTTTGAGCCCAGATGGGAAAACCCACCTGGTTCCAGTAAACATTTGGCCCAGAACGTGAACAGATCCAGAGTGACCATCGACTGGGCATCAGCCAGCACCAGTTTCACTGCAACATAGCCATGGGGTCCTGAGCACCTCCAGCACTGACCTGGCACTTGCAATGGGGCACTTCAGCATACCCTGGACCCTCCTGTTGGGGCAGGACCAGTGCAGGGAACAAGTGGCCTCTGCCACCAGATACTGCCTGCTGCGGCTTCCAGGTGGGGCCACATACTGATGTGGCAGCGTGGTTACCAGGCATCAGGAATGCATCTGCCACAGGCAACTCAACAGGTCCTCGTCACCCAGGGAGTCCCCAGACCCAACGGGGTCTGGAGGCATTACCAGACCACGCACCAGTGGGACTGGGAGCTGCTGGAACCCACAAGGGCTCTGCTGTGATGGATAACACAAGGCAATCCCTGACCAAAGCCTTTCCCTCCAGTGAAATAACAACCCTCAGCCCCATAACAGACTCCAGGAACAGCCCCAGCCCTGCCAGGACCTGAGACCATCCTGAGCATCCTTAGCCTTTCCCGAGGCCGCTGCTGCCCTGTGTACACAGACTGGCTGGACAGGTGCCAGCTGCCCATGGGCCGGTACGGGGAAGGCACAGGCAGCCCCCTGTGAGTCCCCCCTGCCCTTGCCGCACACAGGCACCTTCTGTCCTCCCTGAGCCCTTCCCGGCCCCTTCCACAAACACAGCCTCTATGATCCTCTGTTATCCTTGCAGCAGGAATGTTTCTTGGGCCCCGACACACCCTGCTCCAGGCAGGGCTTTGCTGTGCCCCACGTGGTGAGGGCTCAGCTTTGATGCTGAAGCTCAAGCACGATGTGCAGGGATTAGGGTCACCTCTGTGTCCATCTGGGATAGGGAATTTGGCCTCACGCTGAGCCACTGTGCACTAGGATGTGACTGCTTCGGGCATTCCACCAGCATGGCATGCCCACGAAAGTTCTGGGCTCAGGAAAGGAGGCTGGGGCTGAACCCCATCTAGCACAAGGTGGGGAGTGCTGCCTTCACCCCAAGTTTATTCAACGGGTTGCAGCATATCCCCAGCTCCTCATGCTGCAGAGGTGCAAGGAGGGTGAGAGTGGACAGCATCCCCCAGCTGCCTGGATGCAGGGAGTCCCCAATAGCCCTGACAGCGCCAGGTCAGGGGCTTTGCCAGGTGTGAGCAGTCCCCTGCAAGCCCACTCTGTGCCCAGGCAGTGTGGGGAGCTCAACCCAAGTCTCTGCCCCTCCACCCACAACTCTGCTGCACACGGCAGCAGGGGGAGCATCCCCCTTGGGTGCTCTGGCTCCAGACAAAGCTGGGGCAGGGTTAGCTCAGGACCAAAAGGGTAAAGGAGGCATTTTGCTGAGTGACAGGGACCATTTCTCTCCACAGAAACCTCAGGAGAGTAAACCCAAAATCTGAAACTTCTAAGCAGAGCTCCAGCACCAGGTACCACCCTTGCCTCACAAAGCAAAATTACGTGCTTGGAGATCCAGAGGCTGCAATCAGAAAGGGTTGAGCCCCTGTGAGCCAGGAGGCTTGCACCAATCATGGTAACTCTCCTGAGGACACACGTCCCTGTCACCGCTCTGCCATGCTCACCACCCTGGTTTGGGGCTCAAAAGGAGCCACGCACACTGCCCTTACAGGAATAAAGCCCCTGGAGCCTGCCTGGCTCTCTGCACCCTCCCTAGCTCCAGCATCTTACCCACGACCTTGGGCAGCTTCTGGCGGCGCAGAGGGATGCGGGGGAGCTTCATCCCGATCCGACTGAACCGCCCGCACAAGCGTCTCGGCGGTTTCTTGGCTGCTGCTGGGTCCTGGTTGGAGCTGCAAGAGAAGGTTATGGCACTGTCAGAGAGGCACCGTTCCCCTCCCTGCGGTGGGGACAGACTTCACGGGTGACAGGGACAGCCTTCACAGGTAACAGAGAGCTCAGGGATGCTGCAAACGCAAAGAGGGTTTTGGAACAATAATAAGGTGGATCAAAGCAGGGGCATGCCCAGGGCGCAGGGAGTTGGCTGCTGCCAGCCCTGAGCACCAGTTTGCACTGCACCAGGAAGCAGAGTAGTGCCAGGGGATGGTGGCAAGACCAGAACCAGCCATGGCCATTGGCAGTGCAGCCCCAAAACACCCACAACACCCAGTCAAGACTCTGAATCTTTAAAAAAAATTAAAATCATCCCAATCCAAAGCCAAACACATGGCTTCTCTTTATTTGCTCTCTGGTTTGGAAGCTTCCCGGGGTTGAGTTTTCAAGCAATTTTCTGCAGCCGCAGGAGTGAGTGGCTTCGCATGTGGATGGGAGGGAACCTGTGCCGTGCCCACTGCTGCTGTGATCCCTCGGGATGCTCTGGCAAGGGACTGCACTGGCACAGCACCACGGGTCACCCAGAGGTTTGGGGACACTGTGGTCCGGACACCCTGGGAGAGACGAAACTGGAACCATTCCCCCTCTCCCAGTGCCATACCTCAGCCCACAGGGCTGCCTTTGTGCTTTATCTGCAGGATAATTTCCTGCAGCCCCCAGGCTCTCCAAGCCAGCTGTGCTGGGCTGGGATTGAGCTGGCAGGGCTGCAAGGGGAGGCTTCTGGAAAATTCCTGTGCAGTGGCTGGTGGCACGAGGGGGTTTTCTCTGCAGCCGGAGGAGCTCCAACAGTCCTCTCATCCCTTGCTAAGCAGCAGAAGCATTTCTCCTTGCTGTGGGTCTGTCCCTATGCCTGTCCTCATGGCGGGATGTTACCTGGTGATGCCAAAATGCTGCCAACATCCTGACCTTGCTTCAGGAACTCACTCTCCCAGCCCTGATCATCCTCATGCAGAACAGTCAGCATCATCCCTGTTCCCTAGGTCTCATTCCATGGCCCAGGGGTTTGTTCTGGGGGTCTTGACCACGTCTTAATACCCTTGTTGTATTTCAGGATTCCCTTTGCAGATCAGTTCCAACCCCCTGGAGACTGGAGGAGACTTGGTGGGTCTCCATAAAGTGCTGGCCCACAAGAGGGAAACAAAGTCAGGGAAAGTAGGAAGGGGCTCCCCAGGCAGGGCTCATCCTGAGCCCCTCTATCAGCCCCAATGACGCAGCAGGACCTGCTCAGACCCCAGGGACCAGCACGGTGCCACGTGGGCAGCACTGCTCTGTCTCAGTTTCCCCGCAGCACCACTGTCCCAGCATGGTCTCTGCATCCCCCTGTCAATCCCAGACCCCACTGGTCCCCCACATTCCCAGCCTGGTGAGATCCCTCCCGGTACTCACCTGCAGGCTTCGTCCTTCTTGCGGCAGACACAGCAGCAGCAGAGCAGAGAGAGCAGGAGGATGAGCAGCAGTGCCAGGAGGGCCCCTGCCCCGATCACCCCCATCCTCTGGTTGGCCTCTGCAAGGCAGACCCATGGCTCAGCCTGGTGCCAGCCCTGTGGCAGTGGCAGCCCTGGCTCGTGCCCTCCAGCACTCACCCATGTGACAGGCGCCTGTCAGTGGGTCGCAGGCGCCGTCGTGGCAGCTGCAGGCTTCGGCACAGTTGGCTCCATAGCGTCCAGCAGGGCAAGTCAGGTTACAGCTGGAGGGAAGGGGCTGGATGAGAGTGGTGCATCGGGCACAGCAATGTGGGGCCGCTTGGCTGCTACCTTCTCCCAAGCCCTTCATGCTTCAAGAAGCACTTCTCCAGCCTTGCTCTGACAACTCAACCACACCTCGAGGGACCCTGTAATCTACAAGGATCAGTAGCCCATTGCCCACCCAGCAGTTTTGCCCATTGCTCTGGGGATTTGGCCCAGCTGGATCTCTGACGCTGTCACTGCTCCCCTTCACCCATTTACCATTCCCATTTACCATTCCCCTTCACCATTACCATTAGACATGGTAATAAGGAAAGGTCATTAACCCAGCAGTCACATCTAAAGACACCCTGGCGTCAGGCACAGGGATTCCAGCTCAGCTCAGCAGTGATGTGGCTGCAGCACCCCAAGGCCCATCCCTACCAAGCTGCGCAGAGCTGCAGTGGCCACGAGCTGGGAAGGTGCCCAGATTGATTTTCTTTTTTTGTGGTCTCCAAGAAGGAAAAAAACCAGAGGAGCCCCAAGGCATCCACTCCATCAGAGTGGGTCCCCCCCATTCAGCTCTGCCTGGTGTCAAATCTCCACCACTGGTAAAATGACCTCCATGGTGGAGTCACCAAGGCGATGGGGACATGCATGAATGGGCACCAGTCCATGAGCATCAAGGACTTGAGCATGGAAAACATGCACCAGGCACATGCAAAAGCACCTGGGCCTCTCGGGAGTGGGACCAATCCAATCCATCTCCCCAGCTGTGGGCCAGGCACTGCAGAGCCTGATTCAGACAGATTTGGAGATGCCAGCAGCACTGCTGGACACCAAATCCTCCACCAGCTGTGTCCTGGCTGCAGCAGCCGCAGCTGTAAGGAGCCAGTGGGCCCCAGCCCAAACCTGCTCCTCCAGAGATGCAGCTGCCCCCAGTCCCTGGCACAGTGCCTGTGGGCGGCTCAGCCCATTTCACACTCCAAGGACTTGCAAAGTGCTGCCTAGGCCAAGCTTTGTGCCCACCATGTGCCCACTGTGTGCCTGCCGTGTGCCTGCCATGTGCCTGCAGTGTGCCCACCGTGTGCCCACAGTGTGCCTGCCGTGTGCCTGCCGTGTGCCTGCCATGTGCCCACAGTGTGCCTGCCGTGTGCCTGCCATGTGCCTGCCATGTGCCCACAGTGTGCCTGCCGTGTGCCTGCCGTGTGCCTGCTGTGTGCCCACAGTGTGCCTGCCGTGTGCCCACAGTGTGCTCACAGTGTGCCTGCCGTGTGCCCACAGTGTGCCTGCCATGTGCCTGCCGTGTGCCCACCATGTGCCCACAGTGTGCCTGCTGTGTGCCTGCCATGTGCCTGCAGTGTGCCCGCCGTGTGCCCACAGTGTGCCTGCCGTGTGCCTGCCGTGTACCCGCCAGGATGGGTGCTGAGCCCCCCTGTCCACTCTAATGGCTGTGCTGGGAAGCAAATGCAGCAGAACAGGAGCAGGGATATTCCCTCAGCAACACAAAACCTTTCACCCCACCACTTGGCCTCACATTTCTGCCCCAGGCTGAGGTTTTAGGAGAGCAGAGGGGTGTGATTTTTTTCCAGGAGGGTCCTGACAACTCTGGCAAAGACAGGGAAAAGATAAAGCACTTTGTGCACACTTTAGCAGTTGTTCCTTTAGTATCCTCCCGACACAGAGCTGAGAGGATACCCCTTCATGGTATGGACATTGCTTCTGCCTTCCTTCCAGAAATCCCATTTTTAGTAAAATTATACGCTGCTGACAAAAACACTAGTTTGCACATAGTGACAGGGATCTGCCTGAGCGCTGGGAATTCCCTGGGCCCGCCCGGCGTGCAGCGCGTGGCACAGCTCAGCTCGTGGTTATGGCACCAGGACATTGCTGGGGCTGGGCTGCATCCTGAGCATCCTCCACCCCCACAGTCCTGGTGCTGTGCTGGGCTCAGAACAGTTTAATCTCAGGTCTTTTCCAACCTAGTTGATTCCATGATTCTGTAATCTGTGTTCTGTCCTCTGGCACTGTGCCAAAAGCATCACTGCACCCCCCCTGCTGAGCACTGGGACCCTCTCACCTCTGCCTTCACCACCAAAGTTGGCCATGATGCCCAGGCCGGGCATCCTGAGCTGGTGCCTGTGCCAGTGGCTCTTTCAGCACTTTGAGTGGTAGGTGAAGCCCCACAAAAATAAACCCCAAAATGCAAATGCTCCTCGTTTCTATGCCCTGAATGAAATGCCAGGATGGGCAGGATGCCAGCTCCAAATCCCTGTCCTTGCCATCACCCTTGCAGTTAATTGCTGGAAAATCCTGAGCACCACCCGGCAGGACCTGGAGGAACTGTCTGCATGTCCCAGCTGGGTGGGAAACTCTTTCCTCTTGTTTTCAAACAACATTTCAGTCCCATGCTGTGAAAACCCACCCAGGGATGTGAGCAGGCCCTTGCACCCCTTCCCTGGGCAGGGGGAAGGAGGAGACCCGGGTAAAACCCTGGCCAGAGGCAGAGCTTTCAGCAGGACCCCCCGCAGACGCCATGCCCGTGAGGCTGTTCGTTACTCTGGGATGTGGTTTCTTCTCTCTTTTTGGATAGAAATTCCATCCTGGACTTAAAAAAACCCAACAAACCACCATTTTGTCAATTTTTTTTTGTCAAATAGGCATTTTAAAGCACAATCCCTCTCACAGCATGACCTTGCTGCTAACGGTTCTGTGAGCACGTCCTTCCCCCTCTGCTCCCCACATCATCCGAATTATCACCTGCGAGCGCTTCTACAGTAGGAAACCCCTCAGCTGAGAACCACATAGGACCCAATGGGGCAGGAGGTGCCTGAGCATCACCCCCAAAAGTGTGCTTACTGTGCCTCACTTACTAGGTGCCGTGGGAGCCAGGGTGGCAGAGGCACCGCCCGGTCTCGAAGTGGCACTGGCCGTTGACGCAGTCGCTGCAGACAAAGGCACAGTTGTCCCCGTATGTCCCATTCCAGCACTTGGTTTCACACCTGTGGAAGGATGAGGGCAGATGGCTGGAGCATCCATGGCACTTGGGGACCCCTGGCATCCCCCTACATGCAGGGAGATCGGGCTGTATGTCACTGTGGTGGCTTGGGGTTTCTGAAGCCAGGAAAGGTGTACAGGGATGGACTGAGCTCTCTGACACAGCCATGTGTCTGAGAGCTCAGTCCATGGGACTGGGGGGAGCCTGCAAGACCTGTGCCCTATGCCCAGGTAATGTCTTGCACTTGCAGTGAGGCTTAGCTCTGAAGCTGGGATGCTTTCCTGCAGACTCTTGTACCCAGGATTGGTTCCAGGGCTGCAGAACCCCTCAGCAACCCTGTTCCCTGAGCAGGGAGAATCAGGGAAGCCAAGCATCACTCTGCCAGGATCCAGCTGCACTTACCGGTCTCCGATCCAGCCCGGGTTGCAGTGGGAGCACTTGCCATTGATGTGGTTGCAGGTGTGGCCATCCTTGCAAGGGGGACAGAGCTTCTCACAGCCCTCTCCGTAGAAGCCAGGTGAGCAGGGCTGGTCACACTTGGTGCCATTCCAGCCCGCCTCACAGGTCAGGCAGCGCCCGTCTGCCACGGTGCACGGCTGCAGGCTCTTGCACTGCCCACACCTGCAATGGCCAAGGGGGAGACCATCACTCAGTGCAGCCCCAAAACCTCCTGCTGCTGCATCCCACCAGTGCCGGATCAGACCCAGCAGAGTCTGGCCACTCACCGTCTCCGGCAGCCTTGGCCGTAGAAGCCGGCTGGGCACGGCTCGCGGCAGTACTTGCCCCGGTAGCCTGGCTCGCAGGTGCAGGTCCCATCCACCTGGTTGCACTTGCCCTTGTAGCACTGGCAGTAGCGGTCACAGCGGGGCCCAAACGTCCGCTCCCGGCACTGGCAGCGCCCCGTGAACTGCTCGCAGGGCGAGTTGTTGCAGGAGCACTGGTTGTTGCAGCCGCGGCCCCACCAGCCGGGCTGGCACAGACAGTTGCCTGTCTGCTGGTCGCACTGAGAGTTGTGGCTGCAATAGCAGGAGCTGGAGCACTGCGGGCCCCACCAGTTGGGCTCGCAGGTGCATTTGCCTGTCTTCTGGTCGCACTTGCCATGCTTGCAGAGGCAGATGTTTTCGCACTTGGGACCCCAGCGGTTGAGGTTGCAGGTGCACTGACCTGTCACGTCCTCGCACTGCCCGTTGGGGTGGCAGCTGCACATCTCTTTGCAGTCGGGACCCCAGAACTGCCGCGGACACTCTGCAGGGAGATCCATCAGCCCCAGACTACCCAGGGGGACAACCCTACCGCTGAAGGGACCCACAGTCCCAACAGGACCTCTCGACCACCACCCTCCCTCTCTTCCCTGCAGCGCACTGGATTTCAGAGGAGACCCCGGCAAAGGGACAATGCCCGGGGGACAGGCAAAGGCAGAGCAAAAGCATTCAAAGCCCGATCCCCGATGCTCTGCTCTGGAATGTCACCCCAGGATAAGCTGGGGCCACCCCAGTGAACCCTGCTGAGGACAGGAGGGCTCCTGCCAGTACTCACTGGTGTCGCAGTTGGCGCCGAAGTAGCCATGGCGGCAACGGCACTCGCTGGGCCTGACACACACCTCGTTCTCCTTGCAGGTAAAGTTCCCCTCGCACACGGCTGGATGCACAAACAGACGGCAGGCATAAGTGTGAGTGCCTGCTCCCCTGAGCACTGCCTGCTCATCCCTGCTCCCCCAAGCCCTCCCAAAGCCCCCCAGAGCAGGGGAAGGGCTGTGCAGTAGCCCTCTGAGTGCTGCTGAGCTGTGGCACTATCACCATCCTACCAACCATGGTGGCTGCATGGGACCCTCGCCAGGAAAATGCCACCAGCCTCCTGTCACCCAGCTCAGCTCCAACTCTGCCACCCAGATCAACTCCATCCTGGCCACCAGCCTCCTGCTACCCAGCCAAGCCTCATCCATGCCAGCAGCTGCACCCAGTGGGGCATTGTCCCTTGCTCAGCTCTGCCTTGACAGAGGGGAGATGGGGGCATGAGATAGAGGGGTTGTGGGCAGCCATGAGCATGGTCCCCTTCCTTGCACTCCTTATAGACCACAGCAGTGCCACTCCCACCCCACCACTGCCTCTCTTGCATGGCCACCAGCCCCCAAAGGCCACCTGCCCCTCTCCTGCTGAGGGGAACTTGTGCTGAGGCCGATGACCGGAGCCAGGCAGGCACAGTATGTGGGACAGGCAGCATGGACAGGCAGCACTGCAGTGCACTTGCAGATCCCACACGACCCTGGACAAGCTTCCTTAGGCATCGGGAGAGGGAGAGACAACCACGCACCCCAACCACCTTACCTGGGAGTTGTTAGACCTACGGTGATGGATACTATAGAAACCCCTAAAATAGACAGATTACACAGGTTAGGAGCAGTGAGTCTAACAGTTAGTGCAGGTTGGGGGGCAGGAGATGGGGACAGCTCACTGTGGGACCATCCTCCCCACACTGTCCTGGTAGATTCTGTCCTTCTCCCTTCCAAAGGGGATGCATCCCATTCCCAAAGCATGCAGCGAGCGGTTACAGGGCTCATGCACAGTGGGTTAGTTGGTTACGTGGGCTTTGCTACCAGCTGTGAACTGCCACCTGCGGCTCTCCCGGGCTGTGGTGAGCCCCATGGCCAGCTGAGACTGCAGGGAACCCTAAACAGCCACCTTCACTGTGGTGGCAGTGCAGGGGATGATGCTCCCAGGGTTTCATGATGAGCATCCATGCTGGGCTCACTGTGGCCCCAGTAAAAAGCTGTGACACCTTGTATGGCCCCAACCCAGGCTAGGTGGTCCCTGCCTGCCCCAGCGGCCTCTCCCCACTGGGGCCACGATAGATATGTGCCTGGTATGGGCAGCTTCTTCTCCACCAGAGGCTCTGGCTCAGCTCCCCACACTGCTGGAGCACCTGTGGGGAATCTCATTCCCATCCCTGCAGCTGCACCTTTACCCCAGGGGACACCTCATTGTCCCTTGGGTCCCTGTGCAGCAGCCCCAAATCCTTAGAAGAGCTGGCTGTCAAGGAGAGAAACCCCCACAGCTCTGTGACGCCCAGGTCTGGAGCTGAGCACCCTTTCCATCCACGTGATGCTGGCTTAGAGCACTGCAGGGAGGCAGGACCCCAGCTGCAGTCCCCAGGACAGGGGATCCCAGCCACAGGACACATCAGAGTGGCTCCCGACAGTGGTGGTGAGGCCAGGAGGGCTCAGCAAATGATGGGCAGTGTCCAACAAAGCAAAATGCCAGTGTTTACCTATTAAACACTCGCTTCCTTGTTGCCTCCATCCTAGGCAGCACACAAGCACTGAGGAGCTGCAGGGGAGAAAAAAAGCATCACAAATAGTTACAACCCTCAGAAAGTCCTGGTCCTTCCCAAGAACCCACCAGGAGCACTGAAGCCATGATGGTGAGAGGTCCTGCCAGGGGTTGCTGCATCCCCATGGGGCAGAGAGAGCTCTTGGCTCTTCCTCCAGCACTCAGGGAGTTATGGATCTGCTGGGGGCCTCCCATGGGTGCTGTTTGAGATGTACCATCAACCACTGAGGTGACTAGAGGAGCAAGGACAAGACCACTTCCTCCCATTAATGAGTGATGAAACAGCAAAAGTCATGTTTGCAACCTCTACAGTAAAAAAAAATAAATAATCCAAAGAACCCTCCCCAAAGCTGGGAAAAAAGGGAAGATTCTAAATGTCCCAGGGGAAAACATGACCTGAACCCCAGGCTTGCTGCTGGGTGGCCTAGGGTTGGCACCCCAAAGGCAGGCTGGAACCACCTGGCCAGAATAGCTGGAGCACAGTCAGCTCCCAGGAGATGTGCCCATGTACGAGCAGGGGGATGCCAACTACAGGCAACTGGAATGTGTCCCTGAGCCCCTGGGTGTCCTGCAGTGCCACCACCTCTAGGGAGCACTAGGCACAGGGTTATCAGGCAAGATATGTTTGGCACAAGCTTTATCAGGATGGGGGCTCAGACCCCTTCAGAGGCTCAGCCAGGGATGCTCAGCTCCCTGCCTGGATGGGACACGCAGGGACACCTCACCTGCACTTGGTCAATGACTCCTCCAAGCAAACGTTCAGAGGCTCATGATGCTGCAAGTGAATGTGGGGAGTACATCCCCTGTGCCACGATCTCACAGAAATCCCTGTTTGGGGACCCTTGCTCATCCCCAGAGCCACCCACTTGTCCTCAGGGTGACCCACGCTGCCTGGTCCCACGGGCGATGGGAGTGATGCTGGAGGGTCACAAACAGTCAAAGCAGTTGCTGCAGTCAAGGAAAACTTCACCCGGGCTGGTCTGCAGCACAGCCTGGAATGCATTTGGCTTTTTTTTTCCCTTTTCCTCTTTATACGTAACAAATGCAGAAGAGGAGGAGACAGCAAGGAAGTATTCGCTCGAAACCCAGCGCAGTCACAGGACCACGTCTGGCTGCCAGACCACCCTGTCCTGGGGCCGAGGAGGGAGCTGCCAGCAGCCCCTTGGCCAAACTGGGGTACTGGGGATGCAGCTCCCACCACTGGCCCCTCGGCGGGCAGCACCCATACGGCTGAGCCAGAAGCATCGTGTCCCCCTTTTCGTGGATGGTGAAAAGTTGGAAAGGAGGCAGAAAAGAACCACAAAAATGATTCGAGGCCTGGAAAAAATGCCTTGCAGCCAGAGCCCAAAATAGCTCCATCTATGCAGCCTGTGGAAGCGGTCGCAAGACGCTGCGATGGCAGCGGCACGTACACCCCCCATCGTGGGGACCCCGGGGCTCGAGGGGGGGGCTCTGATCCTGCCAAACACGCAGGGGGATGCACGGGGTTAGGCAAAGGCAGGTCAACCACCAAATCACCTCCCTGAGGACTGGGTGGGCTGGAGTCAAGGTTCTTCTCAGCAAGAGGCTTCAGGCTGCCCGTCCTGAAAAGCTTTGTCAGCTGTGCTGGGATGCTCAGGTGGGGAAGGGTCCACAGTGCCTCTGCCCTCCCATGGCATGGCCAAGGCCCCCACTGTTCACTGGGGTTGCTTTCACCACTCCACTCTTCATAAATTCAGTTTGGTGGGGTTTTAGATGAAACCATTGCAGGTTTGCAAGAGGAAACCTCTCTACTTGGGAAACCTCCTCTCTCCAATGGCTCAGCCTGGCCACCAAAATGGGCATCATGGGGGATGCGCCAAAATGCATCATTCTTGATGAAAGCCCCAAGCTGACAGTGGGGAGCTGGGAGTCACTGTAACACAGTGGCAGGAGGAAAAACTCTTCTGCCATGAGCTGGAGGAGGCGAGCGGCACCTCTACCACCACCAGCTGGGATCCAGCCCACCACCTCTTATCTTCTGGGCTTATCTTTTTCCCGATAGCTAATCTCTCTTTGCCTGTGCCTGCTAATGGCATCCCACACCCTGCTCAGCCCATGCCTCATTTATTAGCAGCTTTGACAGCAATCAATCTCTCCTGTGGCAAGGAGAGGTAGCCAGGATGCAGCACTGGGAAACCAGTGCTCCCAGTATGGTACCAGGACTGGTCCCTGAGCACAGCCAGCCACAGGGAGGGGCAGTATTGGCTGCAGGTGACCAGTGCCCATTAGCATGTTGGACTAAAAGATGTTTCATGGCCTCAGCTCCTTAACAGAGCTCCACTTGCCCCATGATCACTGGAAAGGGATAACTAGGAGACGTGTTTAAAAGCTTGCTCCTGACCCACATGGACATGCCACTGAAGACATCCAGTGCAAATACATTTCCCATTTCTTTCTCTTTCCATCAAAGTGCTACAAATGCTGGGAAAAGAAAAAGGAAAAACTGCCTCCAAACTGTGGCTGGGGCTGGGGAGCTCAGCTGATGTGGAGGAAGAGGAGCAGGATGTGGGCAGATATGAAGCTGTCACCTGCAGGGATGAGTGCTCCATGCCAGCCTTGGCCCCAGCCCATGGCCACATCCTGCTCATGCTGAGCATCAGTGGGACCTCAGCAAAGGATCTTGAGGTTTCCACAGAGGCAGAATATTTTTCTTGTGGATTAGTATCCTATATCATTCCCTGTAACACGTCCTCTCTACCAACAGCTATGGAGAGGGCTCCTGAGGCAGGAGGGATGGCTCCTCACCCAGACCAACACAGCCCTCCCTGAACAATGAGGAGCAGGGTCACACCCCTGAAAGCAGGAGCAAGACCTTGGGGCTCGGGTGGGAGCTGCTGCCCATGGTCCCACGTGAGACCTCCCTGCTTGGCCCACTGGATGGAGCTGCAGAGGAGCCCTGTGGACACCCAGGATATCCCTGGCACTCAGAGCATCACTGGCACCTTCCCCATCCCCAGAGCTCCTCCATCCCTGCCCCGCTGCTTCTCCCAAGCATCACCCCAGTGCTAATCTCCTTCTTTCTTTGTGTTACCCATCACTTGGTGCCACCCAGCTTTCACTGTGTGTGACACAAGACTCTTGGTACCAGCAGGTCCCAGCCAGTGGCACACCCCCAGCTGATGCCAGCTGCAGCTCCCCGACCCCAGCTTTGGAGTGTAGGCAGGCAGAGATCCCCAGGGCAGGCAGGAGTAGGACCATGTACATAAACAGAAACCATTTGGACAGAGAAAGAAAATAAAAGTAAGTAACCCCCAAAGATTATCAAATGAGAGCGTTAGCAAGAGAGCAGGACAGGGACAAAGCAGTGCCCAGGCTGTCACCAGCCTGCATCCCCACCAGCACCTTTGGAGAGGGTCATGCCAATGGGCAACCAATCATAAGAGAGGTTCAAATTTAGTGACAAGTTGCATTTAGAACACAAAACCCCAAAGAACCCCAAATATGCCCTTTTCTTCTGCCCTAAATAGTTTCTTGAATTGCTACTTGCAAGCCAGATCTCAGGAAATCACATAATCCTCCCCCTGAGCCCTCCAAAACCTGTGGTGGCATCTCCACAGGATGCCTGGATGAGCTTTGCAGAGCCTAGAGTCCAAGCAGCAGCTTCACCAGGCTCAGGTGGGGGACACTTGGACCCCAGGCCACCTCCAGCCCCTCTGCCCCCAGCCCCAGACACAGGGCAGGACCTGCAGCACCAGGGCGTTGGGGCCAACAGGATAGGTTTGGATGGTGACATATGGAGTGTCCTCCATGCCCATTGTACATGGTCACGATGGTGGTGGGTGCCAGGCAGGTGGGTGGAGAGGGAAGAAGGGTTTGCAGAAGGGTGAGGGGTGAAAAGTGATGCAAACATCATCTGAGCTTCCTAGGGACCATCCCTGTCCAACTATCCCCAGCTCCCAGGCTGTCTTCAGGTCCTGTCCCCACAGGAGGATGGACACCACTCCCTGCCCATCCCATGGATCCTGTCCCACTCGACAGCCAGTGCCTCTTGCACACCCCACAAGTGGCACAGAGAGCGAGTCCAAGCCCTGCAGGGCTGGCGCAGCATCTTCCCAACCTTCATCCAGTGTGGATGGGAGGGGTCCCTGTGCAAGGGGAAGCACTCAGGCACCCCATCCCCAGGACGTGGTGGCAGCTTTGCTGTGCAGGTCACAGGCAGTGGAGGAGGGACAGCTCCCTGCATCCTGCCCTGTTGTGGAACAGCACGGGCAAAGCTGCGGCTGCTCTGGCTCGTGAAATGCCTCCTTAGGAAACTCAGGCTGTAATTTGAGGAGGGGGCACCAGCGCCCTGCGGCCCTGCTGAATGGAGCCATTATGCGGCCCCTCTCACTCACAGCACATGTTTTCCTTGTGGACTCGTCTGACCTCATGGGCGAGATGTAAAGGTGCATTTATGGCCTGGGCCCCCCAATCAGGGGCAGGGGATCCAGCTCTCCCAGGCAGGAGGCAGTAGTTGTGGGCACTCTCCCCCTTTGCTCTGGCCAGCCTGGCCCAGGAGCCTGGGCAGCACCATGCCTGAGCTCTGTGGAGAAGCTGGGCTGAGGTGATGCTCTGCAAAGCAACCTGTGGGACACAGAGAGCACTGGGAGTGGGGACACAGCAGTGCCACCTCCCAGGACCCTGCCCCTGGCCAGGCAGGCAGGATGCGACCCCCGGGACAGCTAGACAGTGCCAGCACCCACTTTCTGAAGCCAAACCCGAGGGTCCTGAAGCTGCCAACTCCACCATGATCAGCAGCCCGGTACAGCTCCACCATGATACCCAGAGCATCCTGCATCCCACCAGTCCAGGCTCAGTAGCATGACCGGCCTCCGGGGGGTGCAGGACCGACCCCCCACAGTGCAACCCGATCCCTGAAGGCACCCAGGACCGGCTTCCCACCACAGATTCTGCCCCAGGGATGCAGGATTTCCCCCCCACCCCTACCTCTCCCCTTAGTCCATCCCCAGAGACACCAAACACCAGCTCCCCACAGCAGAACTGGCCCCGGGGTGTACAGAACCGGCTCCAAAGGAATTCAGGACCGGCTCTCCTCAACACGACCGGTCCCGGTGGAGTGCGGGACCGGAGCCAGGGCATTCAAGACCGGCTCCCCGCAGCACCCCGGCGATCAGAACCAGCCCCCGCCCCGGCCCCACTCAGGCTCGGCTTCTCACCGCCGCCGGCTCCCCCCGCCTCAGCCCCGCACAGGACGGACTTTGTCTTGGAAGGCGCCCAGCGCGGCGGCTGCCCGGGATGGGGGATGGACCGGCGAGCCCGTCCCGTGTCCTGTCCCGCGGCCCCGACCCCGCACCGCCGTGGGGGTCCGGTCCCGTCCCGCCCCGCACACCCCGCACACCTGCCCGCCCCCGCTCCTACCCGCCGGCCCTGCAGACGTTCCTGCCGCGGGGGCTCAGCTCCTGCGCGGCTCCGCGGCTCAGCACCGGCAGCACCAGCAGCACCAGCAGCGGCAGCAGCGGCAGCAGCGCGGCCCCGGCCCGGGGGCGGCGGGGCGGCCGCAGCGCACGGGCCTCCATCACCGGCGGAGCGGCGGGGCCCGGCCGAACCCGGCACAGCCCATACGGGGCCGGTCGCTGTCCCCCCGCCCCGGCTCCGCCGCTCCCGGTCCCCGCCCGCCCCGGTCCCCGCCGGTCCCGGCTGCCGCTCGGCGGGCGGAAGCCGCGGTGCGATCGCTTCGCCGCCGCCTCCCCCGCGCCCCTCTCGGCAGCGGCGGGAGGGGCCCCGCCGCCAGCCAGGAAATTCCGCATTGGTTCCCCTGACGGCGGGCCAGGCTCCGGGGGCCGCCGCCGCCACCGCCCCGGCCCCGGGCAGCGCCGCCCCGACGGCCCCGGGGAAGCTCCACCGGGTGGGCAGCGCCGCCGAACGGGAGGAGGGTCCCCGAGGGAGAATGGGAGGATGAGAAGTCCTGGCTTCCAGCGCAGCCCGGGGGTCCAGCAGCTCCCGGGAGTCCAGGGAGTCCAGTGCCCCCGGGGTTTGGAGGGGACCGAGATCCGGTAGCAGCGGGGATCGGCTGTCACGGTGGTTTGGAAGCTCCAGGTCCCCGGGAGGCCCCGGGAGACCGATGGCCCCGGGGTCTGGCTCTTCTGGGACCCAGCGGCTCCAGGGGCCTGACAGCCCTGGGTGTCCAAGAGCCCCGGGTTTTGATTGTCCCAGAGGTCTGGGAGTCCCTGGGGTCTGGCAGCCCCAGGATCTGGCTGTGTCTGGGATCTACAGCCTTAGATGCACAACAGCCCTGGGATCTGTCTGACCTGGAGTTCCAGCAGCTCCAGGGGTCCCACAGACCTGAGTGCCCAAGGGCCCATGGGTCAGTCTGTCTGGGTGGTCCAGCAGCCCTCAGAAGCCTGAAAGCCCCATTATCCATCTGACCCAGGAATCCAGCAACTCCAGGTGCTTGACAGCCCCACGATCTTACTGTCCTGGAGGTCTGGTAGCCCCAAATGTGTGACAGCCCCCAGAGTCTGACTCTCCTGGGGGTCCCTGGGACTCCAGGTCTTTGGGAGCCAGGCAGACCAGGGGGCCAGCTGACTGGGGGATCCAGCAGCTCCAGGTGCCGGACAGCCCCAGGATCTGGCTGTCCCAGAGGTCTGGTAGCCCCAGGTGTGTGACAGCCCCAGTGTCCAGCTGTCCTGCAGGTCCAGCTGCAGTGATCTGGCATCTCCATGTGTCTGGCAGCCTGGCCCAGACTGTTGGGAGCCATGCAGGAACCCATGTGGTGCCAAGGAAGCATGACCCCGCACAGGAACACAAGGGCTTCAGAGCAGCCACTGGTTAACTCACTGTAAGGACACAGCTGGGAACTGGGGGGACACCCTAGGCACCCGCAGCAGTCCCACACCTCAGGCCTGGTAGGGCAGCCCGGTCAATAAATTGCCTCAGCTTGACAGTGCAGTAGCACTGAATGGGCTGGGGTTTCCTTGGCCACCACCCTGGGCCAGCTGCCTGTTCATCTCAATGGTCACTGCAAGCGATGCCTCAAGCTTCTCTGAGCTCCTGGGACATCTGATAGTGGTATGGGGAAAGTGTGGATGAGGACACCCTGGCCATCTCCCCCATGGTGGCACAAATGCAGCTGAATAGCTGCATCCGTCTCTTGTGAAGTGCTGGCTGCTTGCAAACTAAGAGCTGTGGAAGGTGTATGGACAGTGCATCTCCCATGGAGCTGGCTCTGAGGGTCACATACCTCTGGGGCTCTCCTGTGGATGTGGAGCCTCTGTCCCAGTAGGCATGAGTTGGGCAGCACTATTTTGGAGAGGATTTGGGAGTTCTGGGTGGTGTCCTGAGCACCCTCCCAGCCCAGGGATCCCTGCATCGAGCAGAGAGTAAGTGCATCTGGTGGGTTCTCACCACCTTCGGTGTTTGCAGTACTGATGTGCAGGGAAGGCTTCTCTCCTGCTCAGACAGGTGACTCCCAGTGGAAAAGTCTCTAGTGGTCTTACCAGTGGGAATATAACCATTGTGTAGCACTCCCTTTCCCCCTCCTTTTCCCCCTCTGTAGCCCTGGCACGTTCCATGTGTTTGGCAGCAGCACCAAGAAGCAGCATACCATGCCCATCTCCCCCTGCCTCCACATCCCTGTCCCTCTTGTCCCACCCTGCTCACAGGAGCAGGAATGTGAAGACCATGGAGGCACAAATTGCTCCCTTAGGATGACTCAGCCTCAGGCTGAGCTCACCACAACCCTTTCTGTCAGGGAAAGTGGGATGGGGAGGGGTCAACTCCAAAGTTAGGCAGGAATCTGGGCTTGGTGGTGGTATTCCCATGCCTCCTCTGGCAGCTGTGCCCACCTCGAGCTTTTAGTCCTGCTCTGGCTCTTTCCATCCTAGGATTCTCTTCCTATCCTGCTCTCTTCATCCCCTCCCCATTGTGCTGAGCAGCCCTGGTGCTCCACTGCCCCGGTCATGATGGGCCAGGACAGCCTCACGCTGCCTCACCTTCCCCATGCTGGTGCTTTGTGTGAGGATGTTTGCTTTTGGATGGTTTCTGGCTTCTATAAACTTAACTTCTCTTCCTCTTCACCAGCAGACAACATACTCCAGCTGCTCCGTTTTCACCAGTCTAACTCACAGAAGGGGTTGGGCCATAGCCAGGGAGATAAACTGGTCCCTCAAAAGAGGCTGCCAACTGGTGTAAGAGGCTGGAGAAGCGGAGGATGCTGTGGGACAGAGGCAGAGGGAGGTTTTACAGTGCTCTGGGCTGGCTGGTGCTGCCAGGGCCTGGAGGATTGCGCAGCCCACAGGTACCAGCCACCCATCCCTCCTCTCCCTGTGATCCTGGCAAGGCTGCTGCCCATGCAGAGCATGGCCCATGCTTTCGATCACACACCACTTGCATTTCCTGTTTCAGACTCTGCCAGGTGTCTGTCTCCTGTGGAACTGTTTTTGGAAAAATACCACAGAAAAAAGGAACCCCAGCACTATAGTATTTCTGAACACAAAACTCAGGGAAAAGATGCTGTTTTGTCAACGCTTCAAAAATCCCTGTGGCTGCTTTGGTGGGCAGGACTGCGTGGAGGGGCATGGGGTGTCATAGGATACCCTGATGTGGCCAGGCTGCCCAGATGGTTGCTGCAAGTATATGGGATCTTTCTCCTTCCAACTCCCCCCCTGCTGCAGCTAGCATCCTTGCACACAGGAATGCTGCAACATGGCTCCTGGCACATGCACCACCATTCCATGCCTCCTCTTCCTCCAGGACAAGCAGAAAGCAGTGTTCAGCAGCAAGAGCTAAAACTGAGCAGGATGGGGAAAGCCTGGTTGTGTCAGTGCACCCAGAAATAGAAGAGGCAGTTGCTGTTTTCTGGCTGAGCATGGGTACAGCTGTGCCAGGGAAGGTTTAGGCTGGATATCAGGGAAAAGGTTCTTCCCCCAGAAGGTGGGTGGGCACTGGAACAGGCTCTGCAGGGCAGTGGTCATGGCCCAAAGGCTGTCAGAGCTCAAGGAGTGTTTGGACAACGCTCTCAGGCACATGGTGGGATTGTTGGGGTGTCTTGTGCAGGGCCAGGAGTTGGACTCGATGATCCCTGTGGGTCCCTTCCAGCTTAGGATATTCCATGCCAGGTTGCAGGGAACCAGGGGTTTGGATGTTTCAAGGACATTCAGTACCCTAGGTGTTCAGGAGGCAGCACTCTGCACCCATAGACAGCCTCTGCAAACAGCAGCACATAACACCTCCGAGCCAGGCTGTCGAGTCATCTTATCATGGGGAGGGGGTTAACTACAAAAAAGGAGGGTCAAGAGGGGCTCCTCCTGCCATACTACACAGATGCCTGGAGGTCTTTGCATAAGGTCATAATAGTGGATTATTTCTGCATCCAGAATCCAGCAGAGCTCAGGCTCTGGGGCACCAGTGTGCTGCATGCCACTGCAGCAGCATCCTGCAAGGGCTGGAGAGGCAGCCCAGTGTCTGGAGCATCTTCCCTCTTCCCTGAAACACAAGGAGCCCAGCTGCTGCCTGCATCAGTACCGTTTTTAAATTCCAGCAGCCCTGGCCCTGTGCTCCAGCAATGCTCCCTGCTCTGCTCCAGTTGTTTTTTAAGGCAGGAGAGTCTCAGATAGAGAAAAGGCAGAAGGTGAACAGCTCTGGAAATCTAAACATCACCCCTGTGAGGGACTGATCCAGGGAAAAAGGAGACAGTGCCACAGCTTTAGGCAGGGAATCCCAGATACGCCTGTGGTCATGCAGAGCCCAGAAATAACTGGTGCTATGTTGAGGTGTGAAAGCCTGCAGGGTGCACATCCCCCAAAAGCAGGTCTCAGGGTGGGGAAAGGCTCTCCCCTGCCACACCCTCCTCTGCAGGTAGGAGGAGGCTCTAGGGCTTCCAGCTCCTCCGAAGCCCAGCACAGGCAGCTCCACAGCTTCTCCAATCCCTAGCCCAGGAAGTTTGGCCTCACTCTGTACAGCCCACCTCTGGCTCCTTTCCCCAAGCCCTGGCTCTGGCCAAAGTGTGCAGCTGGAGGGCTGAGAGCAGCACTGACCCCCTCTCTGAGATCAGGGCAGTGCCTGGGGACAGGTGGCTACCCAATAACTCCAAGGGAGAGACAGGAGCAGGAACAGTTGTGATTTAATCATCTCCATTCTCTGCAAATCCAGTGTACAGCAGAGCTGAGCTGTGGTCCAGCTCTGGGTGCTCCCACTGTCCCTGGTCCACCACTGGAGCCAGGGACTGTGGGCAGGGCAGGAACGGCACAGGGATGGGGCCAGCCCGCTCCCCTGGCCCCTCCTGCTCCACTGGACGTGTGCCTGAGGATGGACAACCCCAGGAGGCTTTGGCTCAGCTTATCCTGGGGGATGGGGGAGAGCCTGGACCTGCCCAGCTCTGATCAGTGCAAAGCTGCTGAGCAGGCAAGGAGTGGCTGTCCTGGGACAAGCAGCAGGGACCAACCCAGCCCTTACACAGGTGTGGAAGGGACAAAGCCCCAGTCCCAGAAGAGGCTGGAGGAGCTTTTGGCTTGTCTCCAGCTTGTGCCCAGGTCACCCAGCCCACCTGTACCTGAGCCCATGACACGGAGCAGACAGACAAATCTCTCTGCGCAATCCCGCCAGGGGAAAACTCCGGGACAGTGTTCACCAAGGCATGGGGCAGGGCTGGCAGGAGAGCCCCAGCAGTGCCCCCTGGGACAGCTCAAGAGGCTGTGGGATGGCAGAGGGACATCCCCGGGGCAGTGCCGGATGGGGCAATCCCACAGCAGCGACTGCCAGAAGGTGTGCGTGGTTCAACAGCAACAAGGACACTTGTCTCAAAGGGCAAAGGGTGCTAAGGGGAGCTGCAGCAGAATTGGGGTGG